ATTGCCTTTGTATACCTTTTAAGACATCATCATATAACTCATCATACATGCATACACGTCAAACGTATCACATGACATCATTCAATAATGACTAGTTTCAAGGAATTCATAGACAAAGTAAATATCAATCAAGTACATCCTTCCAACAACATATCTCATCACAACATTACATCATATCATACCGTACATCTTGCAATTTCTCATCAATATGAACCCGAACAATTTTTACCAAAATCAAGTTTGACACATACCTAAGATCTACCTAAGACTCTACCAATTGCTTGCTTCAACAACACATGTCAAGCACAAAAGCAATATACCACTCATGATCGAGTTAAACTTTCACACATCATCAGGAATTTTACTGCAATGGTACACATTGATCAAACAGGCTATACCGCCACGAGGAAAAATTCGCACCAGGCTATACCGCCACAAGAAAACCAAATCAGGCTATACCGCCATTGATAAAAATCTAAAATCAAGCTCTACCGCCACAAATCCCAAAATCAGGCTATACCGCCACTGGAATAAGGTGACCCCAAATCAGGCTATACCACCATGGGAACAAGATAAAACCAACCCAGGCTACACCATCATGCAGAACCCAATGCAGGCTATTCTGCCATACTAAAGAAATCAACACAGGCTATATTGCCATACAGAACCCAACGCAAGCTATACCGCCATGCAGAACCCAATGCAAGCTATACCGCCATACAAAAACTATAACGCAAGCTATACTGACACACATAAACCAACGCAGGCTATACCGCCATACAAAAAACCAATGTAGGCTATACCTCCATACAAACACCATACAAAAAAAAAAAAGCAGGCTATACCATACAGAAACCAATCTAGGCTATATCGCCATATAGAAACCAACCCAGGCTATACCACAATACAAAAAACTAAGACAGGTATACCCCCAAACAAAAACCCAAATCTGGCTAAACCTCCATGGGAAACACATATACCCAAATCATGCTATACTGCCATGGATAAAAGACCTGAATCAGGATCTACTGCCACGTGACCACCAAAACCCAAATCGAGTCATACCACACTCTTTCCTTTGAATACCTTTCATAAACATGACATTATTATTTATTAACATGACTCATCCCATAATTATCTCGCATTATATTCTCACAGTAATTACCAGCATCAGAATGCATTGAAGCGTCCTACATGTGACATCTAGGACAACCGTATTTCATTGTGACCAACAAATAATAAGCTTTTCATACCCTCCAAATTACTTGTTTGGCCTATTAAACTCGTTTCCTCGACTATCACGGACAGTTTAAAACTTACCCAATCCATTTGTTTCTTCGGCTATCACGAGCAAATTAAACACTCTTTTCGACTTGTTCCGTCGACTATCACGGGCAATTTAGAATTTACCTAGGCAATTTGTTTAGTCGGCTATCACGGGCAAATTAGACCTTACTCCTATACTTTTTTTCCATTGACTAACACGGAGAATGAAAAAGGCTACACTACGAAACACGACTACACTGTGTGGGAAACTAATTAGCACGCATATCTCGGTTACACTGACAGGGAGCTAATTAGTAACAATAACACGACTACACTATGAAGGGAACAAATTAGTACCCACATGTAGCTACACTGCGAGGGAGCTAATCAGTACCACAACGGGGCTACACTGCATCGAAAATTAATCAGCACCCAGATCTTGGCTACACAACATTGAAGTTGATCATCTACTTCAACTCTTTAAGTTCACATCCATTCGATAGTTAACTTAGAGTCTCAGTTATCCGAGCCCGTGATAAAGTTCACAGCCTTAGCATCCCGGATTGTGACCGAGATGTCAGGTCGTGAACCCAACACCCAACAAGGAGTAAATCGGCAACCTCCGAGATTGTGTGCTCGTCCCGGAAGATCACGCTTGCGATCTTTGCCTTCTCAACCGTGAACGTGCCTAGCAGCCTGATCATTATAAATAGGCGACCCCCTCCCCCATTTGAAAGAAGAAATCTCTTGAAAATTTTGGTTTGTGGAGAGAGAAGCTAGATAGAGAAATTGAAGGAAGGAGAAGAAGATAAGGAGGAGTCGAGAATCAAGAGAGCTCTCCCCCAAGTCAAGACTTCTTCTATTTCTTCCTTGTATCTTCTTCCCCCTTTATGTAGTATTTCTCTTAGTTATTAGGGATTCAATCCCACAAATACTAGAATTAGGTCTTTGAATGTAGATGGAATTGTGTTAGTGCTTGTGTATGGAATTTATTTTCTTAGTGATTATATGCTTCATCTTTGATCAAGTATGCATGAGCTTGTCTCTCCAACTCTTTTCATCTAGCCTACCACTTAGGAGTTTATGATCTAGAGTGCATTTGAAATGCTAATTCGGATAGATAGATGTAAAAACTTAGGGAACTGAATGGTGCACGAGGTGACCATCCCCTGCCAATTGGGTGGCCTCCTAAGCAATGCTAGAGCGATGTGTGTGTGACCATCAACATGTCGATCTAGTGTGCAAATAGGTTGAACCTGTTGAAAGTGTCTAGAACGCGTCCCTAGTATGTTGAACTTGATCGAGGTGACATTGGGTCAAGGATTTGTGCTAGAAGGGGGATTAGTTGCATGACCATTGAACAAATCCCCACTTTAGTGAGCCCCGCACCTGATTACCGCAAACCCAACACTCTAAAACATTTGCACGATAGTCCTAGACCTAGGGCGAGGTGGAATCTCGAAGTATCTGCTGTTATCCTTGCTTTCTCCACCAGTACTTTCCATTTGACCTCCAAAAAACTCGAAACCGAACGACTAGATAACAACAAAGTGAGAAGTAGCCTAGGGTATCGAACCCCATGGAATACGACTTTGGTCGACCACTATATGAACAATACTGTCTTGAGTTGTACTTGGCTCAAGATGGGATAGTTAATTTAGGGCGTGCAATCAATCTTTATAACCCGGATAAGTTCACACCATATATAATGTCATATTGGATCGAGATTCTTTAGTGGGAGTCTAATTGCATGCCTTAGATGTTCTATTTTGGTTGTCGGGATGAAAGATGGACTTTGGTTAGGATATTAATGAGAGAATGATGGAGCTAACAGTTAGGTTTAAAAAAAGAAAGAGAGTAGTAGCATGCTGAATTGTTTGGCTAGATATGAATTTTGGGCAGATCAAACATCTAAATTGTCTCATCTGTCCTACTTAGTTATAAGTGTAATGTTTGACGTTTATTAGGATGCCATGTTAGGAAAAAATGAGAAAATTACGATGCCAAAGAGAAAATAATGGAAAATGCTCTCTAATTTCCAAGTTCAGTGGCGAATGTGAGTTTGGTCTTTGGTGGCCATTTCCATTGCCAATTAACCGATTTGTGAGAGCGTGAGCCCAACAAACAATAATGGGCTTCAATTAGGTTACCGAACAAGAATGGGCCACGGCGAAGCCAATCGGATCGCCACGCCCTCTGTATATTATATTCGGCTTCCTCCAAATCCATCCCCCAACCAAAAACAAAAGCTCAGCTCAACCTGCGGCGAATGCGCTGAACCCTCCTACGCGCGGCGACTCAACTTCGATGGAAGAGGGAGGCCCCGCAGGACCGAAGGTCGTCCGTCTTCTGTATTTCGCCGGCGCCGGATGTAAGTAGATCTCCGTCATCTCGACCGTTTATAATTGTAGAGTAGTGTGTTTTTATCTCTCCCAATCGGAATTGGTGCCGAGAATGGAATTTGCTCTGATTGTCGTCGTCCCCTCTTCCGATCCGTGGCAGTTATGTTCACGATCGCCGTCAACAAGTGGAGAGAGCTCGAGAGGAACTCGATGGAGAAGCAGCGTCTGTCCCTTGAGACGCATGACGATCACAAATTGCTGCGGGAGGGACCAGCGAAATGATTCCACAGGTGCGTTATTTTGAGATTTTCACTTCTCCCATTGAAATCTGGGGTTGGCAGATGTGGAATGTTGCGTTCCGTATTGTTCTCGTTTATTCTGTCCTGAAAGGCTTAAACGATGCTGCCATGTTCCTTTTTCACTTTTCATAAGCAACACATTGCCTTGGTGCACGAATCGTGAAACCACCCGTACCGGTAGTGAGGCTGTCGAGCTGTGGTAAACACGGGATTTGACAATATCAACTATGGATCGTATTGATTCTGATCACAGTTTTCTGGTTTTGATTAAATGATTCTGCAGGTTAAGGGACAGGAGGATCTGGAGAAACATTACTCAAAGATCCGAACACTCTGTCGCCGATCGGGATGATGTTTGCTCATCCCACCAAAGGAATATCATTATGTAGCCAAATGTTAAGACGAGAAGCTTTTGCTTTTGGTGGAAAAAACTTTGTTTTGTCCATAGTTAGTAATTAATGAAGCTTAGCCATGGTGAGCGACAGGAAGAAGTAGGTATGTACCCATCCTTGTAGGGTGAGTAGGAGGTTCCTCACTCCTGGGTTCATAAAATGCCCCCAACTTTGCTTCTCTAATCTTGTTGCTGGCACTGGAATTGCAATAACTATTAATGCTATCATCTTCTCCTCTTGTCAATCAATTGTTTCACCTCTAGTTTAGCTGCATTGTCAAAGTTTACGTCATAATTAATCGGGCTATTGGTCAACAATAACGGAAAAATGAAAAAAAACACAATAACTGTATAACACAAATGATATATTGATAGTTTCATAATATAAATGGCACTGTCGCTAAAGATTGATATTTTTGGCGTTATTAGCCCCTTTAAATGACATTTTTATTATTTCAACAATCAAAAGATTGAATGTCACAGAGAACAAATTGAACGAAACTAGATGCTTAGTGAGATAAAAACAAAATTAAAAGTGAGTGCCATTAGAAAGGAAATTCCGATGACAAATGTGAAAGAAATGAAATTGATAAACCGGAAACTTGTAATTTAGCCCACAAATAAGCCATGCATAGAATTGAACATGGATAATGAAGGGTCGGGAGATGGCTCCATTTTCTACTTTCGAAACTATGGTTAGTCTATGGAATGAAAAAGACATAGCCAAACATAGCAAGGATGATAATATAATGAGAGTCCCATTAGTCCTAAGAAAGTTTCTATATACAAAAGGTACTCAACTTGAAGTACCATTCTCTTTCCTCTCCCAATGTCTGGTCTGTGTTTGAGAGTTCTTCAGTTGATTCGGGTTCCTCCTATTAAGGTTCTGACGCTTTGCAAAGCTATTGGCGTGGTCTGAAGTATAACCAGCAGAATTCCCTGAGATAGGTGGCGCTTCTCTTGGTTTTTGTTCTACGGTTTCTTCATTTGATGTAGGAGTAGACGCTGCCACAGGCTGATGAAGGAACATGCCAGGCAAAACCACTATACTCTTTTTCGGTTCTATCAAGCCGTTGCTTTCTTCTTGTAATTTTAGAATAGACTCAAATTTCTCTCTTCTAGTCTGCTCGGGCTGAGAATCGAGCACCTCCCGACCATTTTCATTATCCTTGTGTTCATTGCTGGTCGGACTCTGATTTATTAACAAAGAAGTGGAATCTCGTCACTTATGTTAGCAATACAATAGGGTGGCTTTCTATTATAGGTAGTTACTAAAAGGGGATATAAAATTAAGTTCTGAAGAAGAAAAATAACAAGAAGTGAAAAGCCATACCAATTGAGAGGAATGAGGTCCAACCAAGTTAAGAACATGTTCCAAATCCTCCGCATGAAAAATCTTCCGACAAACTGGACATTTGCCCATGCTGTCATCTGTTCCTGCAGATTCACCAGTTTTCAGAGGCATATTAATGGCCCATGCTTATTAAGTTTGCTAAACAAGTCCCCACTACAAGCTGCGAAAGGAACAAATGATAGAGAGAACTTTTCACTGCGATTGCTCTGCAGCAACCACTCATAGTAAAACTCAAAAAATCCAAGCTCTCCCTGACTTCTTACAACATCATCTTTCCTGGTCTCATTTGCTGCGGCATAGTGACAGATGAAGCACTGGTGTACTCCTTCTGCTTTTGAAGCCAAGTCCACCACCTTATAATGCATTCACTGGCATAATAACGTACAAGGCAAAAGGATGAGATTGGCAGAGCCAAAATGAACCACTGAGACTGTTAGAATGAAGTATGTAAGAAACTATTACCTGTGGAAGCAATGAAAACACGACATCAACTTCATAAATGACAAGGTTTCGCCCTCTAATTTTTCTGGAACCAAAGGATATAAACACAATGGACATTCACCATCGGGCTGATTCATAATCGAAAGCTTCTCCACTGCTGCCTGAAATTTTACCGAAAAATGTTCAGATTCATTTTTTTTTATGCAGAGAGAAGAGCGCTCATCCAAGTGATAGTAATATACTGAAATTAGGGCTAACCACAAGAACCGTCTACAGCTGAGAAGAGGGCTGAGTCAACTCTCTCTATTAGTTTTTTCAGACCAGACGGCTGGAGTTTCAAACGTATGCCCAACTTAGTTCAGCACCAACTATCTATCCCATCCAGCATTGCCAAACAGCGAAAATTGTAATGCGAGGCGTGAGAAGGGCATGCGCTGCAAAGATAAGAAGCTGCGGTAAATAATCGATTGATGGGGAAGGAACCTGTTGGGAAGAGATATCGGCGGTTCTGGGCTTTATGTGGAGGTGGAGATGGGGAGGGAAAGAATCAAGGACGGCACAATCATCGTCGTAAATCGCTTGCACGCCTCTACTTCAAGTAGAACTTCTTCCTCCTCCGCCATACTTTCCAGCCTTCTGCGCCGCCAAAGGGATGGATGGAGAGCGAGAAAAAAAAGAGGCGCCTCCAGAACTCCTCTCGACTGTCAGATGTGGGAGGCAGCCGGGGCACTGGAAATTTGCAGCTACCTGTGAACGTGTTTCGAGACTCTGGGTGTTAAATCCGGCTACGAACAACAGAAATACAAAACTTCCCCTTCTTTGTTTAGGACGCATGGATGATCATATCATATCATGCGTGTTGAAACGGTGTGGTTGCCATAATAATCGTTTTAACCAATATTATTTGGATAATTTGATTTGGTTAATTTGGATAATTAGTTTGATTTGGTTAAAGATTTTAACTTGTTTGGTTTAGGTGGTTTGATTGGTTTTAGACACTCCTAACCAGCCAAACCAAATTAACCAGATAAATAATTAGTCATATATCTAATATATACACATACTTAATACTTTGAATAACCACTCAAGAGTTCAACGTTCATCCCCCATAAAATATAAAGCTTGATATTGTTCATATAATGTATATTTGTATATGTAGAGTGTAGACCACAACATATGAACGCTTAATTTAGATAAATCTCATACATTATGTTGGATGAAAACTTGAAAGCAAGGTCCTTTCAGCCTATGAAAATTGCTAAAAGACTAAGTCAATTCAAACAAACACAAAAATTCCTTAACCCATACCATTGTGATAAATTTTTGTTAGGTGAATACTTTTATACTAACAGTAAGATAATTGTCTTAGTTGCATGTATTTATGTTAAGGGTCAACTATAACTATGTGTTGATATGTTTTATTCATTATATAAATTGTGAATTGATAAATTAACCAAAATTTTCTCACTTAATGATAATGTGATTTTATATTGGTTAATCTGGTTAATTTGGTTGTTTTATTAGTTTGGACGGTTTGGTTATGATATTGTATTCCATGATTAATGAAATTTAGCGTTATTTGGTTTGGTCTAACCATGGTAACAATTTGAACACCCCTAGATCATATATATATATATATAAAAGGGGAGTCCGAAATTAAAAAAAAAGCTAAATTATAAGTTTGGTCACTTGAATTACTAGTAAAGTTCATGTTAGTCACTGGAATTACTTTATTTCCATCCGTAATCACTTAAATTAGGTTAACGGTCCAAGTTTAGTCACTGGCCGTTAGTCTCCGTTAAATGAGTGACGTGACAATTTAAAAAAAAAATAAAAAATAACTATTTTTATTTTTCACCTCATTATCAAAATTATAAAAAATAAAAAAATAGAAGATAATTAAAAATGTTACTTTTTAATAATTTTGATAATGAGGTAAAAAATAAAAATAGTTAAAAAATTTTTCTTTTAAATTTCAACGTCACTCATTTAGCGGTCAACTATTAGAGTTGACCGCCACATCAGTAAAAGTTAACGAAGATTAACAATCAGTGACTGAACTTGGACTGTTAATCTAATTTAAGTGACTACAGATGAAATAAAGTAATTCTAATGGCTAACGTGAACTTTACTAGTAATTCAAGCGACCTAACTTGTAATTTAGCCAAAAAGAAAAGCTGAATTCTTGAGATTTTCAAAAGAAAATTGATTTTAAAAAAAATTCAAAATAGTACTTGGCAGAAGGTTTTCCAACCGGTTTATACTATTGCGCCGGTTTAGCAAATGAGAATGGTTCGACCACGGGTACAATCGGTTTGTAGCGATCATTCCTGTTCAACAAAATATGTAGGAATATGAAAATCTGTTGAAATCAAATTAATTTAAGTATATTTATATGGCCTGAACTTTTCACAAATTAAACATCCTAGCCAATCTTTTCGATCTATAACTTCGTGGCATCAACTATGCATCAAAGTTAAGAAATTGGCCAAACCCGAGATTTGTCATTTTTTGGACGGTCAAACGCGTTGACTAATGGTCAACGCGCCACGTCACTGCCAAGTCAACATAGACCACTAAAAAATTTTGGGTTTCTCCACCTATTACCATTTATCATTTTGGCCATTATCTTGGGCAGAGAGATGGAATTGGCGTTGAGTCAGGGTGACCCGCACTACCAAGATGGGCATGCGATTGATGGCGACGCCACTCGAGGCGACGTCGAAAGGGTAGAGGGAGTTGAAGAAGACGACCGAGAAGAAGAGGCTGGAGGCGAACCGATCGCCACGTCAATCGCCGATCTGCCTGCCGTCGAGGAAGAAGACAGAGGTGGACGCGTGTTTGATAGAAGCTTTCTTAGCGACATTGGTTGTTGAGGAGGCGACCTTGGAGAAGAAGCCTCCGCCGGAAAACGAGACGCTGGAGAAAGTGGAGACGACAAAGGCGTCGGTCGTGCGGTTGGCGGCTTCCTCTATTGTGGCCGACGAGGAGAAGAAGCTGCCAGAAAGAGAGGAGAAGGTGGAAGATGGTGGTTTCCTTTCCTCTGTAACCCTAAGCCTACTAGAGGTAATGGGCCGCATATCCGAGATGGCCCATAAGCAAGATGGTTGTCGGACTTCGACTTGGGTCGAGAGGGTCCATGGAGTGGACTTGCTTTGGGCCAGGAGGAACAACTGAGCAGGAAAGCACACGAGGAAGACTCCATCATCAGTCAGACGAGCCGAGAAAGTTGGGGACATGCCAACAAAGCGAGCCGACAGATTGGGCCGATAACTGGCCCAATTCCACAATAGACTAGATAGTATAATTTAGGAAAGAAATTCTTAATGCATGATGGGTCGAACCATGAAGGAAAGATTGGCCCTCACATGAGTTGTTTTGTTGGATTTATTTTGCAGGGGGCAAAACATGAAGTAAGATGGAGGTGGGCTCATTGGGTTAGAACGTGGGCTTTCAAGAGGTTTTAATCTAAACACACTTGAAGAATAATGGAGCCCAAAAGAGATTGTCTTCTCCACCAAGCACATGGCAAAATCAATGAAGCAATTCATTGAATATTTCAAGGTGGTGGAAGGACACAAGGAAGAACAATTCTCTAATTTTTATTTCATGGATTTCGAAAAGGAAGAGGAATAATTGTTCAGCTATGGAGAACGTGACATGTCTCACGTGGTTCAAAAAGAGTTGAAGAAAGTTGGAGTTGTCGAAGAAGTCCTTCATGAGCTGGAGCGCAACTGAAAACGAAGAAAGCGGAGGATAAAGAAGGCAAAATTCGACTGCAACCTTGACAGCAAGGTTGTTTTCAAGGGGAGGAGGTTGTTAGAAACCTAGTTTTCATGGGTTTCGCTCATTAATTTTAGTAGGATAATTATTATTATGGTTAGTAGAGATTTAGTCGATATAGGTTATTTATTAGGATTTTCTCGTATTTTCCTTATAAATATGTAACTTGGGTTTATTGAGAATCAATGAAAAATAATCAAGAAGAATATTAGTGAAATTATCCCAACCCTAATCTCCCCTTTCCCTCTCCTCAAAGGCTTTGGCTAGTTCTTCCCTATATTCCCAAATATATTCTTCAATCCCTAATCCCTAATCCCCAATTCTTCTATCATAAATCCCAAATTCTTATCGGTTATCTATCAAATCCATATATCCCTACTTATTATGACCAATCGCGGGTGTCGAAGATTAATTCCTAGAAGCCCTAAAACGTGGGTTTCTAACAGAGAGAACGAGCACCAAGGGGAAGAGGGAGGTTTTAGAGTTCCTCTAGAGATTAATCCCTAGAATCCCTAGAAGCCCTCATAACGTGGGTTTCTAACATGCGATTGTGTTGTTGAGATTGTCATTATGCATGTATTGTTTACAATGCATCGTTTTTTTTGTTTTTTTAGCAGAAACAATACATGGATTGTTTCTGTGATGTGATAGAAAATATCACTCATTTTGAGTGATATGTTATGTCTCAACTTTTAGCTGATGATTGTTGAGATAGTTGAGTTGAGATTGTTTTGTCTCAGCTTTTAGCTGATGCGACATACACAATCACACATACCAAACGTTGTATTCTACAATGCATCAAATTCGACAATACTTGTATAATATTATACATGCATTCTCAACAATACATCTAATTAACAATCGCAACTTCCAAACGACCCCTTAAAACTCAAGTATACTAACTTCACATTGTGTGGGACATGAATTTACTCAAGTATGCCTAGTGGATTTATAACTCTCTATTAGCTAGGAACCCATGGTCACCTCACTCCTCGTAGTGAAGGAGTCTTTTATCTATGTACGAACCCCACTCTTGGGTAATAAGGAGGTTACGACCCTTCACCCCTGGGTTAATAAGAGAAGGGGTAGCTTGGTTCTTCTTTAGGGTTTTGACCCAATAAACCAAAGAGGCATTTCTAGAGAGAGAAAGGAATATATGAGGGCTCTTGAAGCTTACCCATCATCACTGGAGCTTGGAGATCAACCTCTAGAAGAAGTAGATGAAAGATTTGTGCTTTGAATTGTAATCTCTCTTCTCTCTATGAACTAGACCTCTTCTCTTAGGTTGATGAACCCTATGTTTAGATTTTGGTTTGATGTTGATGTATGTGAAAGATTCTATGTTTGATTGAGGAATTTTTTTAGTTGATGGATGGTTTTCATGAATTTCATGAGTTTTACATGTCAATTGAGTTTTTTACCTAGGAGGGAGAAACCCCCCTCCCCCTAGAGCCCATTATTGGCATTTTCGGGTCCTCCTATCATATGTCATTCTGGGTAATCCCTGAAGTAGTCAATCTGGTCGGTCTCTTGATTGTATATGAAACCCTATGTTGAATAGAGTACTACCATTCATCGCCATGTCGTTTTGGGTCAATACCCGAGGGAGTCTATCTCCTAAATGGTAAATGAATTGAGTCGATCGAGCTAGGATAGTACTCAAAATCGGTCCAAATGATAGAGCTAGGGGGATTCAAGCTAAGAGAGCTCTCAAACTTGTAATTAGCTAGGGTAGTGGTTAGGTTAGGTTAGTTAGATTAGCTTTTTAAACACTAATCGAGGTTGGCTAGATAATGAAACATCAAGCCGAATTAAGATACATGTAGGAGACCCGTGGTTCCATAATTTTATTGCTTGCTTACACCCGGTTGTTTGTTATACTTGGCTAGATAATGAAACATCAAGCCGAATCAATGCCGGTATAGCTGCTAGCCTCACATAGCTTCTTCTCGAGAACCACGTCTGTCAACCCTTCCTCAACCTGGTGAGTGAGAAGGGACCAGTCTCGCCGTTACTTCCTAAGGTCTTTGCCTAAGCAAACCCTTACTAACATATTAGTAGAAATTACTTCCTCCTACATGAAGTTATTCTCCCTCTAATCCTTAATAGCTTACGTATAGTCGTCCGGTGTCCCTATCCTCAAGGAAATGGTACTGCGTTACGTATTGCCATCCATTCCATACCCGGTCAACTATTGCATTACGTATCGCCGTCAAGTAGTGACCCAAAATGGTCCATCAACTATTGCGTTACGTATAGTCATCCAGCAGTGATCCGACCATCTACCGCGTCCTGTAGTGGCCTAAGCGCCCAGGGGTTCCATTATCATCAGCCATAATTACAACCATACATTCATTCATACAAAGCACGACGCGTACCTCCACTTTAAGTAAGCGGTGGGATGCCTCACATACATGATCACGCAACCTCATAAATTAACTAGCATAACTTGAAATCAAATACATAAACTAAAAGATCTTGATGGAGATTTCACCCCCTTTACACTCACCTTGAAAAGACGACCCTTCTTTATTGCGGGTTGATCCACGTCATTGTCCGATATTCCGCGCTCAACCTCCTCGTGCTTATCCTCCTTTTGCACTTTCTCCTATTAAGTATTTAGACAAAACTTAATACTTCTTTCTACTAGCTTTACTAGTCAAACGACCTCCAATTTGATTTATTTCCATCTCAAAATCCTCCATTTAACCCTTGCTAGGATTCCCCATGAAATTTTGGAAAATTACATTTTGGCCCCAAAAATGGTAAATCATATAATGGTATCCATAGTTCATGACCTTTACCATTTCACCCTAAACTTTCATAATTAAAAATTATATCCAACATGCCAACTCCCACTTTTTTATTTTGACAAATCAGTGAAAATGGCTTATTTCTATATGATGCTCAAACCTTTGCTTATCCCAACTTACTCTGTCGGCTTCGTAAATTACTTCTCGACATCTAAACTTCCCAAATTCTATCAAACTAACCCAAAATCACCGAAAGACCTAAACGCCATCATCTATTCATCAATATGGAGTTCCAAAAACATGGGGAAAGCATCTTACCTCCGCACCGCCGTCGACCACCGCGGCCCGTTCGTCGCCATTCTTCACGGTCTTCTGATTCCGATCTTCTTTGCCGGCTCCTCCCTCCTGTTCTTCGCACAGCAACAACCCATTGATCGACCTTGTCGAAGGTCCATCACTGCGAACTTCATTGTTCCTTCTTGGCCCACACATCGGAGGTCAACTCCTAACCGCACTCACTCCCTGTCGTTACGGAGGATAGCCCGGAGTCCTAGCTATTCCTCCTCCTCCCGTCTGAATGGTGACCATGTCGACATCGGCCCCAGCCCCAGCCGTCGACGTGGAGCTCTCGGGCTCTCTCTCACGACCTCGAGCCACCAACCTTCCCCCTCTTTTCACCGATCTCGTCGATTCTTCATTGAAAAGTTCGCATTCTAGTCGCCAGAGGATCGCCCCTAGGGCTTCTCTCCTTCGTCCTCTGCTCCACTTTTTTGCCCTCTACCCTTCCAAATTGGTTGGGACAAAATTTGATGAAATGGGTCGTTAGAAAATTCTGACAGTTTCTTATATCAGGTACAACAAGGGCACGGGACACGACCATGTTCTTACCCGTGTTGTCCCCCAAACGTGACGCCTCGCTCCGATCGTTTGTCATCATTTTACGATATTACCAGTGACACAGTCTATCAACATGGGCGTGTCCTTGTCGTGTTACTCTGCTTTATTGTTTTCCTCCGAATGGCTTTTGTCCAATTTATTACGGTTTTAAAACGAACAATAAATGGGACACATTTCATCAATACGGTCGTTTTCAACCTATGTTCCAACGCGTTACGCTTCACTTCCAGTTTCTTCACAATGCTCTGCTTAACGAACACGGTCTAGTAACACGACCGTGTTATGGCTCGTGTTCTAGTATGTTTCTCCTTCGTCAATGTTTTATTAATTCCAACCGTCTTCTAATCTTTCAGCCGAACCTTAGTTGAACCTAAACCCGAACTCGGTGTGTTACAATTAACTTGATATTTGGCCTAGAAATAGTTATTTAACATGCAAATGCCTTAAAATAAGGGCTAAATAACGCCTATTTTAGGTGTTATCATCCCTAGATGGTGAATTAGAGCTTCAATCCATCATTGAAGACTTATCCCATCATTAGGGGTGGGAGATTGAAGAGCAAGAGCCAAAACCCACTCATAAAGGATGTTTTCTTCTCTTGATTTTGTGTGTGTGTCTCTCTCTCTATTACTCTGAGCTAAACCCTCTTTCACTTGGGTGTTTTAGAACTCTGGCTATAGGTGGTAGATTAGATGAATGAATGATTCTTTGCATGTTTGAACTTTTTATTATATATATAATTGAAGTATTTTCATGGAATTGGTTTGGATATTTGATTAAACCCTCCAATAATTGCTATTAACCTAATGTAGAGAATATCCAATTAGGTTTATTAAATAAATTACCTAATTCTTTATTGTGAGTCGATGGATCGAGCATGAAATCGATCTACAATGTCATATTGGATCATTACCCATTACTAGGAATCTATTTGGCATGCCCTAAATGCTCTATTTTGTCAGATGTGTGATTCGGGGCTAATTACATATATTT